TCAGCCAAGCAGTAGCTAACAAGCTTACAGGAGTGATAACAGGTACCTAGTTTCCACCTTCAGACCTAATTTAGCATGGTACTAAATGATAAGTATTTAGTACCTGAAATTAGCACTTGATACGTGTTTAGGGGCGTGAGACATATCCACTGGTAGCCTTCTTAGCAGAGTCTCTAAACTAATGTATTTGGAGATGACAGCCCAATTTGGAAATTATAGTCATAGGGAGCAGACAAGTCAGTTGATAAATGCTGGTAAACTCATGGACTGGAGAATTTCAAGTTTGGGTCAGGGAGAACGCTTTTTTTTTTTTTTTTGGTAGCATTTTGTTTTGGCCGGGGCTGGGTTTGAACCCGCCACCTCTGGCATATAGGACCAGCGCCCTACTCCTTTGAGCCACAGGCACCACCCCAAGAACGCTTTCTATCCTCCTAAACTAAACCCCAAAGCAATGCAACTCTTGCCCAAGAACGCATAGTGCTTAAAGTTCAGTTTTTCAGAACTTTTCTGGATATTACTAGCCTGTGATCTCCAGCCGGTGATATGCAGGTTTCAGAAGTTACTGAAAAAAAATAATAAATTAAAAGATTTCCTTTGAATATATGATTTCTTCTTATACATGGATTCTTTTATGCAATGGTGGTGACCACCTACCCATTATTTTAAATGTTCATTCTTGAAGCACGATTTTTTAGTGATCCCAACACAGCATTTCCATCAGCACTTGGCTTACCAAAGATTTATAATTGTCTTAGGAGGATGTGTCAAAATAAATTATTTTCCTTAAATAGTTAAACCTGGTATCTGACGATGTCAAACATGTCCATAAACTGACCCATTTGTCAGATAATTAAGCTCATTATAAAGAACTTCATGCTTCCCAGAGTAGACCTCTAGATTAATGCATAGACTGGGTCAGCGGTAGGCAGTTTTCTGGAGGAGTGTGCTACGAAGATGAGATCGGCTTGGGTTTAACTTTGAGGTGATCTCACTTCAACACAAGAAATGTTGACTGCACCTGACCTAAAGAGGACTTGGGCACCTTCGGCCTCAGGGACGTCAGTTGCATCCTCATTTCTGAATACACCTCCATTTTGTCATTGCAGAGATTCCACTTTGCCAGGAAATACAAGCTTTGAAAGAATTTCCAGGAAAATATATAGGCATAGTGCCGATAACAGCAAAGTCCAGCATGTTTATTTGGGGGCCACAGGGATGAATCTTTTACTACTGAGAGGATTACAAAATGGATTGACCTTTATTACAGAAAATTTGATGTTCACCTAATTGTGTTACATATACATATATGCAGCATCACCATTTACCCCGCCATAGAAAGTAGCCAAAAAATATGTCATTTCTTGGAAGACAAAGAAAGGACACTTTTTAAATAAATTATTTTCTTCTAATGCGATCTTTCTGGCAGGAGTTAAGCCAAATAAATCCAATTAGCGGTAGTCTGATGTGAAAGCTGATCACGTGTCGTCTGATAAACAGATTTCAGAAATGCAGCAGGATCAGATCAGTTCTATGGACAGTAATCACCCTGTTGATGGGTTTCCTGTCATGGCAGTCTCAGCTCCCTCTCCCAAAGCTTAAAACCACGGAACTTAAAATGCAAGCCGTTCATCATCTCTGTTTTCTCTTCACTAGATTCTGTCTCATTAGTCGAGTGGGGCAGGATTGCCTCTGCCACGTTCTTAGCCCTTCCTCCCCTCCCAGTGTGCTCTGTCCTTTTGGAACAGCCTGGGTAAACGTCATCCCGTGTGAAGCACTCTGTGGTCTCAGACGCACACCTGTCTTAGATGGTGTCAGAGTCACTGTCTCATTCACTTGTTTCAGACTGTCTCCGGAAGGGAGCCAAGCTGCTAATGGCTCCTATATTGTATTCCAGGCGACAGGTTGAGTGGGAGCCTGCCAGCAATTTGATTGAAGGGGTTTGTTTGACACTTCAGAGGCAGCCAATCATATCCTTCCTGCCTCACCTTAGGTCACTGATCAATGTCTGTGTCAATCTGGTGAGTAGCCAAGTGGCAATCTTATGAAACTTTGCAAAATTTAACTCTGCTATTGACTTCTCTGAATTGAAGATTTACAGGTCAACCACTTTTGTGCCCCTACCTACCCATGAAAACAGACGGCTCAGGTGACACTAAAATAGTGAGGTACATTTCAGGGTGGTGCATGGGAAGGCCAGGAGCTGATCCCTGCTCAGACAGGATCGTGGTGTGCTGCTTCCCAGGCACTACCTTGACAATTCACCTCTTCAAGTTGCGCTGAGAGTTGAGGGCTGCCAGTTGGAGAGTGGGGTGGCGGAGACTGCACAATTGGCTAAAAGTCGAGGTGGTCTGGGGTGGGGGAGTTTAAAATGCAAAGGACATATTTTGCTTTTATACTGCAAAATGACGCTGTGAGTTGGCCAGTTTCAGATTTACGGGTGAAGAAAAAAAAATTTTTTTTCATCATTTATGTAATATCTAGAGCCTGGTCCTCAGAAGGTTTTGTAAAATGTGTGGAAATCATGTTAGAGCATTTCATTGAGTAGGACCTGCTGCTTAACTAGTCAAGCAATCAATTGTAGTTGGAATGCCTAGTGCGAATAGAGCTGCTGCTATCATCATTTTTGTCGGTATTTGCTGCATCAGAGAATGTTGTCTGCATTCCCTTGAATCCACAAGTAAGTGTCCAATCTCCTGATTAGAATAGCTTGTTAGTTCATCTCTCATTATTTACATAGTGGACTATAAACAACATTCTACAAAACCTGGGCTGAATCCAGTGCCATGTTCGATCTGACTCTAGACATTACATGCCTTCGAAAGAAGACAACAAGAAAATATTGAAAGTAACATGCCCAACCTTCAATTTATTCTTATCATCATTATTATTATTACTATCATTAAGACACCTTTATTATGATTGCATGAAATTGCAATAGTCAAGGCTGGTCATGTGCTCTGTTTGTATTTCAGGTGATGGGAGTGGTAGGACCTTCCAGTGTTGCTGATGGATTACCCCTTCTTCATCTCAGCCCTTATCTCTCACCACCTCTGCCCTTCAGCACAGCTGTTGTCCGGCTTGTAGCATTGCAGATACAGGTGTGACTGCTTACCTGTTTGTCACGCTCATTTAGTTGCTGGTTGAGGCGCCAGATCATGGTGTTCTCTTTGTTTTTTCTGCAAAGGCTGGGCAAAATCTGTGAAACAGAAGTGTGAACACCTCCAAACTTACAGGTTTGGAGCTACAGCCCTGAGCTTGGTCCTAAGTTGTGCTTCTGTAATTCTTCTTGAGATCTCAAAAATAGCAGAGTCATTTAGTGCTGCCACAAGCTCGAGACCACTTCGGTCTCTTGATATGTGTGTAGAATAATGGTTCATAGATAATCGGCTCACAATTGTTAATTACAAGAGGCAGGAATATTCACAGTCTGGTTTTAAATTATTTTCAGAAAGAATTGCAATATAAATTCTTTCAAATGTTATTACTAGACTTTGAATATCTTAATTTTCTTTAATGATTGTGGGTTGAATACTGTGGGTGCTTTTTAAAAAAAAAAACTCTCCCACTTCATTTCTTAAAATAATCATTTCCAGTGCAAAAAGTACAGAATCGCAATTTTCCTGCCCATTTCTGTGTGCTATCCAGTTTTAGAGAATGGTAAATCACTGAAAAGCACTGTGACCAAAGGGAATTGATATAAATGGATAACTGACCTGTCGTCTGACAAACAAGCTTGATGGTTCAACATCCAGAGAATGGGTAGACGACAGAAAAGAGATTAAGGGCAGTGGCCGCCATGCAGAAAGGAGACACTGACATCCCTACAGTGACACATTTTAATAACCCATGTACGAAGATTGTTTATTTCTTTTTATGTTGCTTATCGTTTCCTGGCTTGAAGAAGGCCTTGGCAGGGGTCAGAGAACTTTTAAATAGCTTCCAACTGGAGCAAGTGAGGAGTTCTGGTTTCCTTCCTTTTCCTTTTTTGCAAAAGTATTTATTGTATGTACTAGTAGAAACATGGAGAAAATTAATAGGGAAATGAGGTTGGTTTTGCACCTGACCATAAGTATTGTAATTTTTCACTGAATATTCAAGCTGTTACTATCTTTTTAGGTCTGTAGCTCTCAGTTATGTCAAGCGAATGGTAAAGTATTAGTCTTGAGTGGATCTTGTATGCTGTACAGACAACGATTGATACGCATAGTTTACAGGAGCAGCCAGCAGGGAGTCACCGTCTCCGTCGTGCTGTGTAAGACAAACACGCGAAATGGTGGTCAATTAATCTTTTTCTCTATTATTGCTGCGCAGGCTTTAAAAGAAGATTTTCCTTTAAGCCATGTGATCTCCCCATTCACCAACCA